ACACTTGGGAAGGGGTTTATAACAAGATGAATTGCAACGGGATCATTTAGAAAGATTTAATTACAATTAAATAATTTTTAACACAAATATAAAATATATAATTTTTATGGTTACATAAAGTTCACATATAATTTGTTTAATTGCTAAATATGCTCAATAATATTTCAATAAACGAAAAAACTTGTGAATGGTTTATTACAAGGCAAAAGATTTCTTACGTCATAATCCTACACACTTCCTACAACACCAAAATTTTGACACGTGGTCCCGACGTGTTTATCTAGAGGGGAGTTAGGTGTTAGCAAAATTTTTAAAGAATTAAAGTAGTAATTAAATAAAAGAATATAAAAATATTATATGGTGAGTTAGGAGTGTTGTGAAATTATGGCATAGAAAATCTTTAGCTCACTTAGAAAGGGTTTATCATATAGCAAAATATCTCATATGCCGCTTTCTACATTATTTACCAAGATTTTGACACGTGACCCTGACGGGTTCATCCAAGGGTGGGTTAGTATGTTAGTAAACTTGTCAAAGAAATAACGTAGTAACTAAATAAAAAATATAAAAATAATATATGGTAGGTTAGGAACTACTCTGGGATTGTGGTATAGGAGATATTTAGCCTTATTAGAAGATGAATTTAAACGAGATTTTTTTGGAAACGTCAAACTAAAAATAACTAATTTTTAACAGAAATATAAAATGTATGAGTGATTATGGCTATATAAAATGCATGTATGATTTGTTCAATTACTAGATATACTCAATAGTGCTTCAATAAACGGGGTCACTGAGAAAAATTTTATTACAAGATGAATTGGAACGGAATCATTTGGAAAAATTTAATTTAAACTAAATAATTTTTAACATAAATATAAATGTATGATTTTTATGGATATATAAAATGCATGTATGATTTTTTTCAATTACTAGATATGGTCAATATTACTTCAATAAACGGGATCACTTGAAATGCGTTTAGTAGAAGGCAAAATATTTCCTACACCACACACTTTCTACAGCATTCACTATGATTTTGATATGTGGCGCCGATGGGTTCATACAAAGTTGAGTTAGGGTTTTTGTAAAACTGTTAAAGAAGAAAAGTAGTAATTAAATTGAAAAATTCAAAAATGAAAAATGAAAAATGAAAAATATTATATGGTGAGTTAGGGAGTATTGTGGTATAGTAGTGTATGAGATCTTTAGCCCATTTGAGAAGCGTTTATTACAAGGCAAAAGATCTTCTACCCCATAACCTCACATCACTTTCTATATTATTTATCAATATTTTGACATATGGCTCCCGCGCGTTTATTAAATGGTGGGTTAGGTGTTAGTAAAATTTTTAAAGAAGCAAAATAACAATTAAGTAAAAAAAAAGTTAAAATTTAGGAACTATTGGAGCATTGTGGTTTTGGAGATCTTTAGCTTTATTACAAAATAAATTGGAACGGGGTCATTTTAAAAATTCAAGTAAAAATAAATAATTTTTAATACAAATATAAAATGTATGATTTATGACTATATAAAATGCATGTATGATTTGTTTTAAATTACTAGACATGTCAATAGTACTTCAAGGTGAATTAGAACGGGATCATTTGGAAAGGTTTCACTACATATATATAATTTTTGTCACAAAAATAAAATGTATAATTTTTGTAGCAATATAATATGTATGTATGATTTTTTTAATAACTTGATATGTTTAATAGTAATTTAATAAACGGGATCACTTGGGAAGAGTTTATTATGAGATGAACTGGAACGGGATAATTTGGAAAGTTTCAACTAAAAGTAATTAACGTTTAACATAAATATAAAATATACTTTTATGGCTATAGGAAATGCATGTATGATTTGTTTCAATTAGAATATATGGTCTATAGTATTTCAATAAACGGGACCACTTGGGAAGGGTATATCACAAGAGGAATCGGAACGGGAATTATTTGGAAAAGTCTAATTAAAAATAAATTTTTTTAACACAAATATAAAATGAAATTTTTTTGTGGCTATATAAAATATATGTATGATTGTTTCAATTACTAGACGTGTTCCATAGTAAAGCAATAAATGAAATTAATTAGGAATAGTTTATTACAAAATTAAGAATAGGAACGGGTTCATTTGGTAAGTTCTAACAAAAAATAAAACAATATTTTATCACAAATATAGGTGTTCACAAATTTTTCTACTAGAACCTTTCAAATTTTGATAAGCAAATCACAAAGTGCATGTTTGGACGTCGTTTTGTTTCAGTTATTGATTTGGATTTGGGAGGAGATTTAAAATATAGTTTAAGCAAAAATTTAAAAAGTTGTTTGGATAGTATTTTAGGATAGTGATCATTTATAAAATTGAAATAGTTCAATGACCAAATTGAAGACTTTACAATAGTTTCGTGACCATCGGCGCATCACCTACCACTATAGATTTTTTTTTTTCTTTTCATTCCTAAATCAAAACTACCGTTTTAATATTTCTCTTTTCCTATTATTATTCCAACATTCTTGATAATTTTCCGTTCCATAGAGATTTATATTAATATAGCTGTGAATAGGAGACTCCAACCAATTCATGTTCTAATCACTGTAAAATCAGATTCTCAAGAATTGATCGATATATATTTTTCTAAAGAACATGATACATATCCAACTATGATTTTAATAATAATAAAAAAAACTAAAACTGTCTAAAACATTCCTTCCATGTTGAGTAGCTAATTAATTACATACACTTGTTTTTTTTTTTTTAATGAGATGGTCCCAGCGAGAATCGAATCTTCAACTTCCTAACCATCCCCTATCCTAATCCTCTAACCACACCATCCAACCCTCTCACCCTTGGCAATCAATAAAGAAAGAAGCGTGGAAAATGATTCCAAAAAAAAATATAAGGTTTAAAAATAAAAAATTTTGACAAGATCGCCGAAAATATTAATCAAACTCAAAACAAAATGGCGTGTATCATTTGGACACCATTTACGTTTTTTCTACTTTCGGTGTTCTTTCTCAAATACTCCCTCCGTCCCATAATTATTGTCCAGTTTTACTAAAATGAAAGATTTTATTTTGATCAAACTTAACTATATTTTACCTTAAACAACCGGATATACCCCTACAAAAGTAATTGTTTAACCACAAAGATTTTATGGATAATGTGTTTTACTAAGGACAAATGTGTAACTTGATTCATACAAAGTCAAATTGGACAATAATTTTGGGACAAAATTTTTTTGGCAAAGTGGACAATAATTATGGGACGGAGGGAGTAAATTTTTTTGAGAGATTTTAAATGTAATTCAATACTATAAAAATTTCCAAGGAAATTTATATTGATAGATTACAACTATGAAATATATTATTTTTTTCTTTTTTGGTACCATCTTTTTTGGAAATTCATATCGATGAGTTAACCCATGCAAGTTATACATTCAATTTGCTAAAAAAATATGATAGATTTCCTTGATGAAATATACATTATAAGCAAAATCGATATTTTCAGTTACAATCAAGTACAGAACACCCATTCAATCAATTTTACTGTGGAAAATTAATAGTATATGTAATCATTTTACTTTGTTCGTTCTAAAATGATCATCCCTTTTACCCTATTAAAGCAGAAGACATGAAGCTTATGTGGCAACTACGTATGCATCTGTTTTGGCTCCAATGCACCATATTTCAGATTTCAGAAGTTTTTTTGCCACGTGTAAGTCTCTTTTAATTAGAAGCTATATAATTTTTTTTTTTAAAAAAACACATATTTTACTACAAATAAGGATCAGTTACATTTCAAACGAATGGATATATTAATTCAAATTCAAATGTCCAATCGTATAGTTTTGCAGGCTTAATATAAACAAAAAATAAAAATACCTAAATCCAGCAATTAAGAATAATGCCTTACAAACTAATTATTTATTATTTCCTTATAACCTCAGATTTATAAGTATATTTTTTTAAGCCCCAAACCATACCATAAATGACATATACGCCAAATTAATTCCTCAAAAAATAGTAATTGAATTAGATTTTAATAAAATAGTAATTGAGAGGGGGCGCCCGGGCATCCGTCCGAGCCAAGCATCTAGTTTTATTTGTTATACACAAAATGACTCTCATCTAGAAAAAAAAAAGAGTATATACCTGTGGATCATATAGGTAAAGAAAATTGTTTTTTAACTAAAGATTAGAAAAAGTATTAATGCAGACAAACTTCCAACTCTAATTCAAACTGCTATATTTCCATGAGTTGAAAACGAAAGAGTCTGATAGGTATCCCATTTATAGAACATGAATTTGATCTATCTAGTATAGGTTGATTGAATTTGATAGTCCTTTCATGCTTCTCATTTTTTATCTTCTTCAATTATTTATTTCATTTTTTTACTTTCACTTTATGATTAACAAAAGTAAACATTCATTATCAGGTAAATTTGAATGATCAAAAAACCATTTTTGACGATTCTAATTAATCTCTCTAAATTCTTCATTGTGTTTCTTCTATTTCACTTCTGTGATTTGAATGGTTTGATGAATGAGGATTTGAAGAAATGGTCCATACTAACTTAAAAGGAGAACAAGAAATTTGTATCTTCAGTTTACGGATATATAGTTCTCAAACAGAATGGTGTTGTCACTTCTTTTGTATTGTATTCTTTTCAAACATTTAACTCCAACACTCTTTAACCTTTTTCCCCATCGCAAGTCCATAGAGGTAGCTGCCTAATCATTATGGATTTTTAGTTAATCATTTTCTTTTCCTTCTTTCATTCCTTTTTTTTTTTGGTATATAAATTTGTTTGTGTTTTATTGCTCATTTTACAAGTGTATGTTTCTTAGATTAATTATTCTTCAAAGTTAAAATACTAAGTGTTACTTCATTGTTCCAGTGTGGATCTCCTTCGAAGGTCTTCCAATTCACCGATTCAAAAAAGCATACTTGTGGAAGCTCGTTAGAATCATTAGAGCTCCTCTTCAAACTGATGTCCCAACCCTCAATATGTCGCGACCGTCTGTGACACGAGTTTGTGTAGAGTTGGATCTTCTCAAGGAGCATCCAATTTCAATCAATATTATACGCGAACATGCCCTAATATTGTGTTGATTGCAAGAAGATTGGTCACGATCTTCAATCCTGTCGACACAACACACGAGCATCATCATCTCAAAGGAAAGAATCGCAGCCTTCAAAGCAACAATCCAAAAATCAAATACAAGGAAACCAATCAAATCCATCACCCTCTGATGTTGTGCCGATGTCAATTGCTACTGGTGGGGATAAGATTCCGTCGGTTACCGCCGGAGACCTCCTCAACTATAATGTTGCGCAGCCATCTCCACAGTTGCAAGAAAAACAGTCCTCCCAAGGAAAGCAAAAGCAGCCACAGGAGCCAATACCGGTGGTGATTATTCAGCAAGAAGAGGCATCGCAAGTTGCAGACCCGAAAGTCGCGCAGGCTGCGACTTTGCTGGGAGCGGCTGGTGCTCTTGTCGCGCCGGCTGTGATTGGCGTGGCTACTGCCACTGCCACCGATAATCAGGCCACCAACATCTTTGCTGCGGCTGCTGTTTCTAATACAAGGCCGCCGATAATTGAGTCTTCTGAAAAGCGAGACATGGCTGTTGTTTCTACAAAGATTGCGGATGACAATTCATTTTCTTCTCAATCCTTACAATTAATTGATGCGCAAATCAATGGACAGAATTTTTCGTCGCCGGCAAGGGAGTCATCCGTGGTGAAGGAAGATCAAGTCAACGCGTCTATTGCTCCAATTACGCAACTGAGTCCGCAACAACCTTCCGCGGATATCCCTCCTGCGGTAAATTCGAAATTAATGGTCCAAAATTTACAGTTACAATCTGATCCAAATCTTCCACTTTTAATTGTGGAAAATTCGAATTTAAACTCTACCTTACCATATTCTTCTCCTTTACCTTCTAAGGAATTATCTTCTCAAAATAACTCTACCATCGGTTCAAAATTAAATCCCAAAGCAGCTGAATTTTCTTGTTCTCCTCGACCACAAATTCCTCTTCTCCAAATCCTTCTTCTTATTTCAGCCCCATAACACAAACAATACTCTAAAGATGATACGGATGTAAGGAAAAATACATTGTCTCCTAATATAAGTTATTCGATTGATCAAATCCATTCTGAAGGAGACCAAAATCATGTTTTTAATGATTCAAATGATGAAGATTTTGACACGGAATGGGAATTGGAACGAGAGTCTTTCTACAGTGAAATTTCTGCTCCGACATATCATAATCATTTGAAAAAAGCCAAGGCGAAAAAGAAAAAAGTACAAAGTCCGTTGGTCAGCTAGAAATGTTTGAAGATTTTAGAAATATTTTATAAGTGTTACTTCTTAAATATAAATAAACTTGATCAAATATATGTCTTGAAATAAATGTTAGTAAGATAATTTATTGATATACGAAAAAAAATCTGAGACTCTATAATTAAAAAAAAGAAAACCACTCTAATTGAATGAAACATAAAAGACTACACTTTGTAAAACAAATTTAAAAAACCACACTTTGTAACAAAAACCCAATCAATCAATTCAATCCAAACATAACTAAAATCATACAAAAATTCTAGACTAACTAACCAAATAATAAATCACATCATACTACCTGACAACGGCTCCGGTAGCTATAACGGATGGACGCATAAAAATAATAGTAATAACACTATTCTTGAACGGAAAAAAGAAAAAATAATAAAAACCAAACCAATTATCTGTGGAAATAAAATCATTTAAATTTTAATACCTGTAATGGCACCACCACAACGGCCGAAGCAAGATCAATGAGAATTTTTTTTTCCTTTGTGTTTATATAGAGAGGTAAAGAGAATATTTTTTGAAGTTAAAATTTTATCCGATTAGGATGTAGTTGATCATCACTAACGAAAAGATTGAACATGTTTATAGGAAAGGAGTATATTTCACCACATATTCTCAATTGATGATTGATGAGGAATTTATTTATTTTTTAATTGTGGAGAAGGGATTGATTAAGGAGTCGATTGTCGTGGCGATGGGGATGAGGATTTGGATTTTTTATGAACCCGTGGTTTTTTTTTTGTTTTGACGAAAATAAGAGGTGGAAATAAATTTGGACTGCATTTGCCTTTTAAGTTTAGGAGATGTGGAAATAAAAATTTATTTTAAAAATATGATGTGGAAATGCCACATGGCAAATGGTGGTGCTTTCTCTTGAGTGTGGTTTTCGTTTCTAATATAGTAAGATATGTTTTCACCGTTGATAAATTTTTTAAAAGATTTCACGTGAAAAATACCTTACATACTACCCTAATCTAAGCCTCCAATATTATTTAAATCTTACAAGGGAAGGAGATTTATCCAAATACCACTTCCCTCGTAATTTTGGAAGCTTTGACTAAAAATTGAATTTTTTTTGTAGATGAAATGTAATCGCCAAGGAAATGTAACCTTTCTGTTGTGAGTAGTGACTATTACCTTATTATCCGTTTGCACAACTATTTGATTTATGATGAGTTTTCTAGATAACTTTGTAAGACAATTCTTTTCGTTTGGGTAAGTTTTAAGCACTACCTTGTGTAATTTTTATCTTTATATTAATAAAATCGGGGTCCTCCCGCCAGATACCACCCTAGATTTCCCTTAAAAAAAAACTACTCGATTTATGCTTCTCACTTTACAGTAATGCAACCCGTTGAGAATTCCAGCTAGTTCCGCTTCTAGTGCCAGCTATTCCCATGTATTTGCATTCAGCTCGAATTATCATTCCTTTATAATCTCTAATCTCAAAGCCCCATCCCGCTTGTCCAAGTTGACCTAGAGGAGATCCATCTGTATTTAAAAGTTTTTCTCCAGGGTCTGGGGGCAGCCATCTAATTGCTAGAGCTTTATTCTGTAAGACTATCTGAACCTTGACATTATAAGCTGCCTCTATCTTGTTTTTCTCTTCCTCTGTTCTTGCTTTCAGCTTATGAACACTCAGAAGATTGGAAACATGGGTTAAAACAGCCTTTAGTAAAACTTGAGAAGAAAAAGCTATACCTTCGTGCACTATTTTGTTACGAAGTTTCCAAATTTTCCAAAGTAGGAATATTGGAATCACCGTAATAGTGGTTTTACGTGCAGTTGTATAACTCCCAAGTGAGTGCCCTGCTTGAAGGTTGCTCCACCATCTTGTATGATTAGAAGATATAATTCCAAAAAGTGGAAGCAAGGGTATTCCATACCTGAGTTATCTTTGTACAACCATAAAATATGTGATCAATCCTTTCTTCCTCCATTTTACAAAAAGGGCAAATGGATGGGTTAGAATGAAAACTCATTTTTTGCAAAATTTCTGGAAAAGGAAACAAAAGGTTAAAGAGTTTCCACATGAAAAAAGAAATTTTCAAAGGTCCAAAAATTTTTAAGGCATGCAACTTCTACTGTCTTTTCTCGAAACTCAGAATAAGAACTAGAAATTGAAAAACTCCCTGTTGGATTTGGTGTCCATGCTAGATAGTCCGAATCATCATTGAACACCATTGATAAAGATGATAGTCTGGCTAGAGTTTGGGATGTTAAGATCTCCCTTAGATCCTCCAAGAAAAAAACCTTAGCATTAAAAAATTCTTTCACAGTTAAGTTCGGCCAAGGGGGATCATTTTCAACTTCACTTCGTAGAAATTCTAATCTTGTCCACTTATCGCGCCAAAAGGACGAAGAACCATTGTTGATTATCATCCGTCATTTTGAAGAAGCTCTTTCCGCCACCTTAGTTACCCTCTTCCAGTTGGTTTTTTCCTTTGCCGGTTCAGATAAAGAGGATGCAAATCTGGCTCAACTCCCTGCTTATGTCTTCCACCACAATTTCATGGAAAAAGCCTCAATGGTGTCTTCCAATTTGCAAAACCCTAACCCATTCTCCGCCACTGGGAAAGTCATTTTATGCCAAGCTCTCCAATGCCTTTTGTTACCATTTTCTTTCTCATCCAAAGGAAAGATGGACACTTCTTTTCCATCTTCTCTATGACTGATTTCGGAGGAGAAATCGCTGCTATCGTATGATTAGGAATAGATGAGAGTACATACTTGATCAAAATGATTCTACCACCCACCGATAGCATTTTAGTTTTCCAATTTCCCAACTTTGAATCTATAGACTCCAATAGATGATGAAAATATTTAGCTTTCTTCCTTCCCTAAAAAAATATTACAACCCAAATATTTAAATGGCAACGTACCTTGGGGCATTTGTAGCAGTTTGCGAAACCATTTGAATGTGTTGCTCGCTACTCTTCTCCGATACAAGGAAGTTACTCTTTTGTTTATTTATTCTTTGCCCCGTTGCTTCCTCATATTCTTGGAAGAAATGATTGAGTTGCATCATTGAATTTTTCAGACTTTTGGAGAAAATAATAAGATCATCGGCAAAACATGCGGAAACTCCATACCTTGCTATCCCATCCTCCACTAGTTCCTTTAAGTTTCGTGTTAAGGCTTCCGACATTAAGATGAATAGGTAAGGCGAGAGGGGATCGCCTTCCTTAATACCACGTGATGCTTGAAAGAATCCAGTTGGAAAGCCATTAACAAGAATCGAAAACCAACTTCTTGAGAGATTTGACATTACTAAACAAAGTGTGGGTGAAAGCCAAAATTCAAAAGTATTTTCCTTAGAAAACTCCACGAAACTCTATAGAATGCCTTCATCATGTCCACCTTTAAGATCAAATTACCACCTCTTGTTTTGTAATTTAGAAATTGGAGAAGGTCTTGGGTGAGTAGTATATTATCAATAATGTCCCTTCCTTCTAAGAATGCAGATTGCTCCTCCAAAATCAATTTTGGAAGAACCCCTTTGAACCTATCCATGAGCAGCTTGGTGAAGATTTTATTCAAAAAGTTACAAAGACTTATCGGTCTAAAATCTGCGTAAGATGTAGCCGTACTTTTCTTCGGGATTAAAGTGATTAGTGTACTTGCCACCGCTCTTGGCATTGGGACACATGACATTAATTTCAGAAAAGCAACCTTCAAATGCTCACATATTATGGACCAGCATTGTCTATAAAAATCTCCCCCAGATCCATCACTTCCGGGCGAGCTAAGAGGATCTAGACTGAAAACCACCGCCTGAATTTCTTCCATGGTTAGCTCCTTTAGCAAGATTTTGTTATCCTCTGACGTGAGTATACCCGGAATGCACATCAAAATGTTATCAGTAGTTTCTTCATGACACATTCTATCCTCTTCCTTAAGAAGATTTTGAAAAAAGGAGACCGCTGCCTGCTCTATTTCTTCTTTTTTAACCACCCATACTCCATCCGATCGTCTTATCTTGTGGACGCCTACCCTTGCTTTTCTCTCCGTCAAAGAGGCATGAAAGAACTTTGAGTTTATATCCCCTTCTCTTAGCCATTTTAATCTCGCTTTTTGATGCAAAAAATCATCATGTTCTCGAAGCTTCTAAAATAAATGAGCTTGAGCTTGTTGAAGAGAGATTCTCTCATTCATAAGCCAGGATTGATCATACACAACTTCCTTCATTTGAACTTCTTTTTCCGCATCCTCTAAATTTTTAAAAACATTACCAAACTCCTCTTTGTTCCATTCTTTTAGACATTGTTTGAGGCGTCTCGATTTCAGGGAGAAACGTAGCATTCCTCCTTGCTCCATAAGTTGATTCTAATTTTCAGCAACGAATTTTGTAAACCCTTCCTGTCACATCCACATTCGTTGAAAACGAAACATGCTTGGCCTTTTGTCATCCTCATTCCTGAATTGATGAAGAATTGGAGAGTGATCAGAGGTAGCTCCATTTAAATGATGAACTGAAGAGTTAGGAAAAAGATCCATCCATTCTTGATTGAAAAGAATGCGATCAAGCCATTTTAGAACTCACCCATTCTACCTAATCCCAGCCCATGTGAAGTTGGTGCCCAATGGAGTCAATTCAGAAAGATTCCAACTATTTATCCATCCATTAAAATCAATAATTGCTCCTTGCTCAGGGACTACATTCCCACTATACTCATCCTGACTATGAATAACATTGAAGTCACCTCCAATCATCCATGGGAAGTTGGGGTGTTTTTGGAGAAACCCTAGCAATTCTGACCAAAGATCTTTCCTATCATGCCTTGTTGATTTTGCATATATTGCTGAAAAGTGCATTTTCCTTGAGCTTACTGTATGTTCCAGCGCCACATGCATGGCCTGATCAGAGGCAGCTAACACATTCATTAACCAAAGATTCGAACAAAGAACCCAGATTTTACCATTTGGAGAACC